TATTCGAAGGTTACTTAATGTACTTGTGGATCTACAAAGGAGTTGATTAGTGAGTGTGAAACAAAAAGGTAGCTATGATTTTTAATGAGACTTGATGATTGTTACAGAGTAGTCAGTTTACAAATTCTGACTAGGGAGCCATTTTCCAGCTTGTCCGAGACATACCCAACAGTTTCAAGGAGGAAAAGCAATTAACGATCACCTCCAATTAAGAGGCCAAATATTTAGGTTGCTACATTTGTTTATAGGAACACAAAGAATATTGAGCAAAGGATTAATCACTCACAAAACAAAACAGGAAATAGACTAAAATGTGAACATTATAAGAAATTGGAACATGTGAAGGAAAAATGCATTATTATTAACATAAAGAATATTGATGAATTTCTTTTAAAAAACTTTTATAAAATATTTTGTAATATGTTCAATGAATTTATATAATAAGAATTTGTAAGATTTAAAAAGATTTTATAAAATTTCAAAGGGTAATATAATTTTTTTTAAAAAATAATATAATTAAAAAAAAAAGATAACTTAAATGATAATGACTCAAAACATGTATTTACATTGCACAAAATAAAATATTAATAAATAAATCTTTTAAAATCCTTGAAAATGGAACGGCCCGTTCCAGTTTAGGAACGGCCCGTTCCAGATTAGGAACGGCCCGTTCCAGTTTAGGAATGGCCCGTTCCAGGTTAGAAATTTTAGGTCTTTTTGGAAGGTTGAAACGACCCGTTCCAATTTGGAAACGGCCCGTTCTGGGCTACTAAAATCATATGAAAATTACTAAATTGCCCTCCATAAAAATATAAAAAATGAGGTGTTACATTTGGCTTCCATATTTTGTCTTTTTTATTCTTTCTTGTATATACCTTTTTTGCTATTTTTCAAAAAAACATTGATATTTTCCAGAAGAAATTGGGTTACTACAGTTGTCCCTCTTTACTTAATTTTACTAGATAATATAAACAACTCTTGTTTCCATATTATCGTAGTAAAATATAAGTAAAGAAAACACCAATTTCGTCTAAGACAAAAGTTGCATGTATTCACCACTTAGAGAAAAGATAGTCACGAGATTTTAGCATAAATTGGAGAATATAAGATCTAAAAGCAATAAGAATAGTAGACTCAGGTTCCAAACTGTTGAGAGTTAAGAGCACGGGGGCTTGAAATGTGAAAGTAGTGAACTCGGAGATCCAAAGGTTTAAGAGTTATGAGTGTGAGGACTCAAAATATGAAAATAGTGGACTCCGGGATCCAAAATATCGAGATTTATGAGCGCGGGGACTCAAAATATAAAAATAGTGGACTCGGGGATCCAAAATATTGAGAGTTATGAGCGCAGGAACTCAAAATGTGAAAATAATGGACTTAGGGATCCAGAATATTGAGAGATATGAGCCCAGGGACTCAAAATATGAAAATGGTTGACTCGGTGATCCAAAATATTGAGAGTTATGAGCGCGAGGACTCAAAATATGAAAATAGTGGACTCAGAGATCCAAAATATTGGGAGTTATGAGCGCAAGGACTCAAAATATGAAAATAGTGGACTCAGGGATCCAAAATATTAAGAGTTATGACCGCTGGGACTCAAAATTTGAAAATAATGGACTCAGGGATCCAAAATATTGGGAGTTATGACTGCTGGGACTCAAAATATGAAAATAGTGGACTCAGGGATCCAAGATATTGAGATATATGAGCCCAAGGACTCAAAATATGAAAATGGTGGACTCGGTGATCCAAAATATTGAGAGTTATGAGCGTGGGGACTCAAAATATGAAAATAGTGGACTCAAAGATCCAAAATATTGGGAGTTATGAGCACGGGGACTCAAAATATGAAAATAGTAGACTCAGGGATCCAAAATATTGAGAGTTATGAGCGAGAGGACTCGAAATGTAGAAAAATGGTGGACTCGGTGATCCAAAATATTGAGAGTTATGAGCGCGGGGACTTGAAATGTAGAAAAATAGTGGACTCGGGATCCAAAATATTGAGAATTATGAGCTCGGGGACTCCAAACATTAGCACGAGGGCTAAAAACATTCAAACGAGAGTGAGCGCGAGGGCTCGAAACATTAAGGAACATGATCGCAAGGCTCGAAACACTTGTGTTGTGATCATCAAAACTCACTAAGCTCAACACTACCTACCTCATAAATAGATGCCTTAATGGTGTTAGCCCTATTGAATTGTTACAATCATTCGTTCCTTCTTCCTCATTGATGTCAAGTTTACCTTGCATGTTTCTTGTCGTGTTACTTTTGTCCATTCACATTGTCCTTGTAGAGGTAAACTAGATCCAAGAGCAAGCAAATGTGTATTTGTTGGTTACTCTTCAAATAAAAAGGGGTGCAAATGCTATAATCCTTAGAGTCATAAATTATTTGTTTCCATGAATGTTACCTTCAATGCAAATGAGTCATTTTTTTGTCTATCCTTGACTTTAGGGGGAGAAAATTAGAACCCAAAGGCAACTCTTTCTTAGAGTTATTACCATTTTTATCTCTATAGGATGTCCAAAATGAAGAAGAAAAGGAAGATAAGTTCTTTCGCAAAAAATATCACAAGAAGAAAAAACCCACCTTAATTCTAGAACAAGAGGAATCGTCTAATTCGAAGGTAAGTGATCCTAAAGGTAATTTGGAGGAAGTAAGTGTTAGTGATGATACTTATATCCCTATTACTTTGAGGAAAGGGAAAAGATCTTATGTTAAATACCCTGTTTTATAATATGTCTATAATAACCACTTGTTTGCTCAACATCAAATTTTTATAGTTGTTATTCATTCAGTAGATATCCTAACTTCAACCCAATAAGCTATGAGAGAAGAACACTAGGTTATAGCCATAAAAAAAGAAATGAAGGCATTAGAAAAGAACTCAACATGGGAGATTGTAGATAGACCTAGAGAGAAGAAGGTTGTAAGATGCAAACATATATTCATAGTAAAACATAGAGTTGATGGGACAGTAGAAAAATACAAAGAAATATTGGCACCAAAGGGATATACACAAACTTATAGGATAGATTATGAGGAGACATTTGTACCAGTGGCAAAGATGAATATAGAATGAGTTATATTTTACCTTGCAGCTTATTTTGGCTAGGACTTATAACAGTTTGATATAATGAATGTTTTCTTGCATAGAGATTTAGAAGAAGAAGTTTACATGGAAATCCTCTTGGATTTGGAGCTTCAGCTAAAGAAATATAAAAGTATGTAGATTAAAAAAGGCCTTGTTTGGACTCAAGCAATCTCCACGAACATGATTTAGGAGATTTACCCAAACAATGATTTCTTTGGGATACAAATAGAGTCTAGGGGATCATACTTTGTTTATAAAACATTCTCGTAATGGTAAACTAATAATACTTTTAGTCTATGTAGAAGAAATGATCATTGCAGGTGATGATGAAGAAGAAAAATTGACATTAAAGAAAAAATTGGCAACATAAGATGAAAGACTTAGGAAGATTAAAATATTTCTTAGGAATTGAAGTTGTTTATTCTAAGAAAGACATATTTATCTCTCAAAGAAAATATGTCCTTGATCTTCTTAAAGAAACACGAAAGCTAAGATGTACGACCTCAGGAGTTCCAATTGAACAAAATCACAAAATTGGAAGTGAAGAAAATCCACAAGTGGAAAAATATCAATATCAAAAATTGGTAGGAAAACTAGTTTACCTATCACACACTCGATGAGACATCGCTTATGCTATGGATGTTGTTAGTTAATTCATGCATGAACCTTGTGAAAGATGTATACAGGCAGTTGATAGGATCCTTCAATACTTGAAGTCAACTCTAGGGAAGGAATTACTATTCAAAAAAGGAGACATTGTGTGTATGAAAATATATACTGATGTAAACTATACAGGGTCAATCACATATAGGAGATCTACTTTTATATATTGCATGCTCTTGGGGGAGGGGAAATTTGGTGACTTGGAAGAGTAAGAAACAAAATGTATTTGCTTGGTCTAGTGAAAAGCTAAATTTCGAGCCTTGACATATGGCATATGTGAAGGGCTGTGGATGAAGATTATTTTTTATGAACTTAGAATTCAAATTGAGCTACCTATGAAGTTGCTTTGTGACAACAAGTTAACCATCAACATTGTTCATAATTCAGTTCAACATGACAAGACCAAGCATATTAAGATAGATAGACACTTCATCAAAGAGAAGTTGGACAGTGGTTTTATTGTTATAGCTCATGTCCCTATAAGACTTCAAGTGGCAGATGTATTCACTAAAGGACTACCTACTAGTAGATTTCAAGAGTTGATATGCAAGTTGGGAATGATTGATATTTATTTATCAACTTGAGGAGGAGTGTTGTAAATAAAAATATCTTAAGAGATTTGATATTATTTTGGGAGATTTGATATGATCTTGTCTTATTTCTTTTATATTTATTTAATTTCAAAGTTACATATTTTAGGGACAAATGTATCTCTATAATAAGAGAAGAGAAGAATGTAATGAGTATGAAACAAATTAATAAAAATCCTCTCTCTCAACTAAAAACCTCACATCATAGTTCTTAGCTCATTTAAAAGTCTTTTTAATGACAAATTATGACGGTTTAACGAACGTCTAAACGAACAAAACTTCAAATATAGTAATCTTAACGAGCTCGGCAGATTTACGGTTGGAATATTAGCACCAAAATGGTTTGCCTTTGATTAACTGCTAGGTTATACTAATCCTATAGAGAGTTTGCTTTTCTCCCAACACGTATCCTCAATCCATTAGGCCACAAGTTAATTTTGTTTATGGTACTGTGATTGACAAATGTACAGACACAAAATTCTCCATTAAATAAATCGTATCCGTAACATATAAGGGCATAGTGTCCAACTACTGCCCTAACCCATCCAATTATATAGAGAGATTAAAAATATATTTAGTTTTTTATTTTACTTCTTATTAGTTCTAAAACTGAAGTTTGTCAATGACTTCATGCTACAAGTAACTCATCCACAAATGGAATAATTTAATTTCTTTATCCACAACGTAGTTGGTATATACACCCCAATGTGTAGATTTGCACACATAACAAATGAACATGGACAAAATCTCTAACATAAACACACTTGTATTGATGATATTTAAAAAGTCAAAGAAGAAGATACACAATAATAATTAACATATTTGTTTCCAACAATGCTTGGAGTTTGAAGCATTAGAAACAACCAAGGAGTTTCTTTGGAGCTGTTCCAGTTGCTCTATACTTTGCAGCTGTCTCCTCTGCTTTAAGAAGATCTTCCCCTTTCTTTGCCTCAATCGTTGCTCTTCTTTCCTCAGCTTCCTTGTGGATCGCAGCTACTTTGTTTTTTATTTTTTCTGCATATTCTGCCTTTTTCTTCTCCAATTGTTCCTATGAAAATGAAAAGGTTGCTTTAATGATTTATCTCTTCCTCTCTTTAGGAACATTCAATGCAGAAAGAATCACAAGAAATCAAGATTTAAAATTACATGATGGAATCAAGCGGTCTAGCTCAATAGATTGAGCAAAATGTGTCAGTGTTGTAAAATCTCTTGATACCGAGTTCAAAAAGTAAAGGATGGAAGAAAATTAACGCATAAAACATGTTAGAATTACTAATGAAATTAACTCTTACTTCAATCTTTTTCAGTTCAGCCTCCACTGTAGCTTTCTTACTGTTTTCCCATGCTGAAATGGCTGAAAGCTTTTTGTGAGCCCTGCTCAACAATTTCATTTAAATTAGTATTCTAGACATTGTTAATCTCAAATATTCATATTATGTGATTAAATATGAATTTTTAGTTCATTTTCTAATTGGATTCCATATTTAGATATATCTGTTTCCAAATTGACCATGATGCTGATGGTGATATTTTACAATTCAATGCACAAAAATAGCAAAGATCAGCACAAGGTTAAAAAGAAAACCAACCAATAACTTTTCAATCCAAAGATAAAAAGACAATAAAATTGATGTTATGTTGATTAATCACCATGGTTAAGGTGATTCAATTGAAGACTCTTAACAATTATTTGGCACTACTAAAATCCACATTACATTTGAACCAAGGGGTGAAGGTTCTTACTTATTTTCAGCTTTTGATTTTTCACTTTCTTCCCATGCTTTGATTAGTGATAGCCTCTTCTCAGTTGCAACTCTGGCAAGCACAGCATCTGAAGACAAATGAGGTATTATCTATAATGTTAGGATACAAAAGGATACATAAATGGAAATTAAGTATCCTAATGACAAATGACATACCTCTATTTATAGAGCCTTCAGATGGTTTCACTTCATCAACTTCTTCAGTCTCTGGCAATAATCAAAAGTACCAACAATAAACAAAAGAAAACATATGTAGGGACCATGATTTTGATGATAAATGTAATGATAAAATAAGAAGTTATTTTTGTTGCAGTCCATTGTAGGTATGTTACTATATGGAATGTAACTTGGTTCCAACATTGGAAGGAAATCAATTTCTGACTAGTGATGAAGAAAAATCATTCTTTGTATCTTTTATGAAATGAAGAGAAAAATATGGTATTTATTTTGAGACCGAGATAAATCCTACTTGAGCACTTAATGCAACAAAATATAACTATTTTGCTCTCATTCTGCATCAATATTGAATTGGTTAGCTCAATTTTTAAATAGTTTTGTCGGATTACTCTCCCCTGAACTAAAAGCTTGTAAATGGATGAAGAATTTCTAAGTGGTTTCCCCGTTTTAAGTCATACAAATAGGCATTAAAAAACTTTGAACCAACAAACCAATATATCACTATAAAGTGTCTCAAAAATAGTCAAAGCTTAGAAACATTTCAATAATAAGGTTGTAAATGGATACAAAATATGAATAGATTAAATATAAATGAAATACGAGAAATTTATAAAATATCAAACTAGTTACTTGGTATATGAGTATATGACATTAATCAAAAGACTAGTAGCAGAGGTGTTTTCATCCTTTGAATTTGCAAGTACTTAAGCCTTAAAATATGAAAAGTTGGTTTTCTGCGTGAAAGTTAGATTCTTATTAGGCTTGGATTTTACAGAGGGACCACTCTGTCTCATACTTGATAGAAGAGGAAAGGTTCAGAGCAATTTGAGAATATTGTTTTGGATAAAATACAACAGGAAAGTTCCAGCAATATTGAATATCATAAAATACAAGAAAAAGTAATCAAGTACAACTGCACAAATAACAAGTAACAACAAACCATCAAATATAACATGGGATTTTTTTTTACTCCAAAAAAGGCTTAGAAAATAATAATAGAAAAAACTGTTCTCAGAAATCAAAATCTATTATAACTGATTGTTTATAACTATTTAAGCGAAAAACACCAAAAATATTTATATTGCTGCCAGAAGGACAAGGAATATGGCACGAGATTATCAGAAAAGTCCAAAACCATGTAATTTGAAAAGAAATTCAAAAGAAGCCGCTGCAGAAGGAATATAAAACAATTACAAGATAGTAAAATTAAAACACCCTTTTGGAATAAAGAAAACACAAAGTTCCTCAAAGATATGGTTAATTAACCTAATGATTTAAAACATAAACAAACCATAAAGCATATGCATAGACATAGAGATTCCTAAATAAAAGATTCACATAGATATCAATTTTTCTTTTGCTGCAATCATTTTTCTCACCAACCACATATATATTCCCACCTTTTGGAACATAATAACATAACAATGAAACTGAGTTGATTGAACACGGGGTGTAAGAGTATTGTAAAGCTTTTCTTAAGAAAGTGGATGGGATAAAATTTCAATTTTACAAAATTAACTTCTAAGATAAATATTATTTTCTATTAATAAATACTGATATGGTCATCTCACTGGTGGACAGCAGGTTAAAATCAAATTTGATTCCGACACATAAAAATTGATAACATAAGAAGAATGAATGTATTAATATCTTACTCTCAACCAAGACAAGAGCCTTGGACTCATCAGGCTTGTCATCTGAAGAGGGCACTGGAATCACAGATTTCTCCTCAGCCACATCCTTTGGAGCCTCAGGAACAGGTTCAGCCTCAGCAGGAGCAGGAGCAGGTGGTGGTTGTGATTCTAACTCTACCTTTTTAGGTTGCTCTTCTGTCATATTTTCTCTCCTATGATGAAACTCAGAATTTTGTGGTAAACAAGAATAGGTGTAACAACACTTTCAGTTATTTAGGAAAAATGAACACTTATTGGAGAGAGATAGAGAGAGAGAGAAATGGGGAAGGGGTTGATTGGTCGAGATATTATAGTTGAGGGAAGGTAACTGCTTAACTCTAAGTTCCAAAAGCTTAGCTGGCTGGGGTTAGGTACTTGTGGCCTCACAATGCGTTGGCACAGTAACAGATAGATAGATATAGAGACCATTGAGGACAATGAAAGCTACACATGCTAACAATTATATAAGCAACCAAAGTAAATTAATGGATAAACCAAACTAAATCACAACCACAGTTTTACACCTGTTCTTGGTGGGTTCCATGTCATTAAATTTCTTCTTTTCTTCATTCCATTAATGCCATGATATTTTCTACCGGTTTGCATGGTATGAAAGTGAATCAAAATAGAGTATGGCACTTTGGATTTTAAAAAAAGTAAATTAAAGAGGTAGGTACGATATTTGATTTTTTACTTAATCAGATTCAGGATTTGGAAGCCGTATTGATCCGGGTAAATAGTGATTCGGTTATGTTTTTTAGTTGTAGCATTGTTCTTTTATTTTTTTTAAGACATGATGCATGTAGAATTTCGCAGAACATGATTTTCACTCACCATGTAATATTCTAGCATTGTCTGGTAAAATCATGAATTTAACAAATTAAATTATTCATAAAGTTTTGCTGGTTCAATTCAACTTTATGTTTAAATTGTTAAATATTTTTTCAGCTTACAATAATTAGTATTATTTTTCATTTATTTAATTGATTGCGGCAACCATGGATTCTACTTTTTTTTTTGTCTGTTGTTTATTTAGTCACAGTTCAATTCAGATCAGCTTATAAATGATTCTGTAAAATATTTTTTAAAAAAATGTATCGGAAAAAATGGTAATAAGCTTTACATAATAAAATTTGAAACAAAATGCTAACATCTAAATTAACCATTAACCATGTCTGCGGAAAATGTTATCATTATTATTATTGTTATTTGAATATAATTAATTTTTATTGAAGCACATTTGTCTCTTATTTATTTTTTGTAAACTATAAAATTATGTATGTTTTCTTTATGAAAATGTTTAATTACAAAAATATCATAACAAAGCCTAACATTTAAGTATATTAAAAAGGATGGATTCTATGATCGTGTATACTGTATATGTAGAAAATTTTGTTGGGAGAGACAAATCATACTTTAGTGAGTAGTCTCTAACTATTATTAAATGGAAAATATTCTTGTTACAAATCAGGAAAAAAAAATTAAACATATTATGAATTTTATTTTTTGTAATGGTGGGCTAATAAGGATTGACTCTGCTCCTAGGTCTATATTTATCCAAAGGTCTTAAAATTCGATTAATGCTTGTAATCTTTTATTTAATTATTTTGATGCTTTGCTGGTAATATTTTATTTGTGAGATCATTTTTAAGTACGGAGCGTTATATTTCATTAACCTTCAAATGACTTTTACATTCTAAACAGAAAAATCAAATTACTGCATTTATGATAATTAATTTCCTTATGTGCTACCCTATATATGATTTAACTCAGAATAAGCAAAGTAGGAAGTATACTTCTTCCACCTCTGCATCAATCCTTAGGTTCTAATTTTACTATCCACACTTAAATATAATTTATTTTGCAGTTGAATTAATGCATAAATAGTTTGTTCGTTGTCAATTTGGCACAACTTCCTTTTGTTCGGAATATATTATGTTACTTTTTTAGGGTCAGAAAATATTCTTTAATTTTGTATATGGTTTGATAATCTTCCTTTTGTTAGGAAAAGTAATTAATCTTTAATTAAATAGCCATTAATTGGTTGTTACTCTTTTGTGTGGCTGATAATTCACGCCATTATTGACAAAGAAACTAGTGATTCATACAATAAAGCAAACCAACATTATTAGGTCATCACCCCCTAATTAATTTATTGAAATGATGATAAATTTATAATTTATTGGTGTTATATCGTATTGATCAAGGTTCCACCACATAACCTTGGTGTAAGGGGAAATTCATCTCAAAATTCAATTGTTGATGAAGATTCTTTCATATCGTGGACACGACGGAATCTTTGGTGTGAGCCCACCTTGTGAAAGACTGAAGGAAAATCATCATAGCTACTACCCCAAAAAAACAACCTCATCATCTTTCTCAATCAATCTCAATCAAGCAAGTTTTTTTCTTGCTCAACTTGTGCAGTCTTATTATCAAAGCTTTTTAAGTTTTAGATTTCAGTGTTATTATGATTTTGAATCCAAATCTTGCCTAGATATGGTAGGTTTTAACTTTTAAGGGGATTTGGATCCTCAAGTGAGTAGGGGAAATAAAGTATCTCATTTTAAAGGGTAAACTGAGTTTAATTGTTAAAAAAAATTCAAATCACATATTAGTTAAGGATGAGATAAAAATAAAATATATAAATAAAAAATAATTTCCATTTTATAAGTCAATTTTTATTATCTAGCTCTATGGTTCTATTTAAAACTCTATGTCAATAGTATACTACATAATGTTTGTTTCTAATGTGATGAAAGCAATTACTATATGAGATCATGCATGTTAATTAGTAATGTTGTCACAATTTGTCTCTTTCACAGACTTTCATTCTAATATATATATAAAGTCATGAATGAAGATTGAGGTCACCACCCATTAAGACAGAAGGTAGTCACCAACTACATATAGTGTTATTGCCAATGAGAGAAAAGGAATCATCACTATATGAAAGGAAGTTTTGTAATGGGGTGGGTTTTTCAAATTTGTTCAGCAAAACTTGTAATATATATATTTGAGAAGATGGATATTTGTTGAGATGTTTCGATATATATATATAAAATAAAACTAAAAAAGAGGTGTCAAGTTCATTACAAAAAAAATACAAATTTTTAATGGAAAATTTCTGACGTATATAGATTTGTCGGAAAATTTATATTTTCCGACGAAAAATTTCTGATGGAATTTTTTTGTAAAAAATTTTTGGTCAAAAATTTTCGACGGAAAAATAAATCCGTCGGAAATTTTTGACAGAATATTCTATCGGAAATTTCCGATAAATTCCGTCGGAAATTTCTTATTTTTAATTCTTATTTTTAATTTCTTTTTTTAATTTCTCATTTTTAATTCTTATTTTCATTTTCTAAAATTGGAATTTTTATTTTAAATTTTTATTTTTAATTCTTATTTTTTATATAATCATTTTTAACTACTTTTTATTTATAAAAAAAAAAAAGATAAATAATTATCTTAGGTGTCACCTACAACAATTACATACTATTATTGTATTGATATTTAACACCTCTAAATTTTCTTTTAGTTTTTTAAAATAAATATTGTTTATCTACCTTAAAATAATCAAACTAGTGAATTTATGTTTTAGAGGGATGGAAATCAAATAATAGCTCGTCACTTAACCAGATCATAACTGATCTGAGGAGATCTCGGTCCAGACGAGATCTGCTATCTAATCAGATCACAACTGATCTCAGGCTCAAGGCCCAACGCAACCCTAATCCACACTAAGGTACGTGCATTACTTATACGAGACTCATACTCATACAAACCCTAACTTTAGCATCGGAGTCTCTTTTGCAGGTACCACCCCCATCTTGAAGCATCAAGCGTACCAGCGAAGGAGGCTCACCAATCTTACTTGGAGGATCATCTCTACAGTAGATTTCCGGTAAGAACAATATGTATTTATAAAACTTTTTGGAAAACTTAACAAATATAAGTTACATGCTTTGTTGAGAAGAAAATACGAGGATAAGAAAGAGAAAGATAGAATTTATTTTATATTGGTTCACTTAAATAGAGATACATTTAATTACCTTTAAATATAAGTATTTTCTTTGATCAATTTTCTTGTACAATTTTTTAAGTCACTTTTGGTTACACAACATCAATACTATTCCAACAATTTGAAGGCAAACACGTAAACAATCCACGAATATACACAAGATATTATATATATATATATATATATATATATATATATAGATGTGTGTGTGTGTAAAAAGTCATGAATGAAGATTACAACCTTAGAGAGGTCACCACACTTTAAGAGAGAAGGTAGTCACCAACTACATAGTGTTATTGCCAATGAGAGAAAGGGAATCATCACCCTATGTGAAGGAAGTTTTGTAATGGGGTGGGTTTTTCAAATTTGTTCAGCAAAACTTGTAATATATTTGAGAAGATGGATATTTGTACGTAGAGATGTTTTGATATGTATATAAAAAATAAAAAAAATAATAAAAAGGTGTCAAGCTACATTAAATTCATGTCTTCATTATTTTATATTTGTGTTGTATTTATGTATCCTTACTTTTAATCTTCGTTGAACATGAAGATTTGTCCCCAACACTTATTTATAGTTTAGCTAGCTCAACAAAAAAAAAATATAAAATGATAAGCAGGTGTAATGATCTATTTACTACCACTTTTGTATAATTGAATTAAAACTAAAATCAGATTAATATTTTTAATTTTCAAAATTTTAAATTATTAGCTAATTTAAATTATTATTTTAAATATTGAGTTTTTAACATATTAAAATTTAATTTATAAATATATATATATATGATAAATAAAAAAAATAAATAATTAAAAAAAATCTAGACAAAAAAAATAAAGTAGAATTAATTAACTCATGTAGAAAAAATTAATTGTAGGGACACATCTTCTATCAGAGGTTAATTAAAAAAGATTGATATTATTTTTTGATGATACATATCTTTTTATAAAGTATAATTATTGAGCATGTAACAACTTAACATGATTCTTACATTGTACACCTTGCAAATTAAGAACATACAACTACTATGGTGTACCATCATTCACTAGATAATGTACTCCAAGTCATATATAAATGTAGACAACTATACAATTCTATAAAACAAGATTACATTCACATAGTAAAAGTAAATATATGCATGTAGTATATTCAACTAGTCAAACACAACTATACATTAAGAGCTACTCCTTAGACAACTACGCAAAGCTCTCTCCTAGTCATAATTCAAATGACTATTAGTGAGAAACATCTCAAACCTAGTCTCACCCTACTCCCATATATAATATGATCATCCCAATCCAATCAATAATGGAAATAAACAAGGGTAAGCTAGAGTTT